CTCTGTCTCCAAAAAAAAAAAAAAAAGACACCAAACTACAGACTAGGAGAAAACATTTGCAAATCATACACTCAAAAAAAAATCATACATCTGATAACAGACTTGTGTCCAGAATACAGAAAAAACCTCTCACAACTCAATAAGAAGATAAACAACCCAATGTAAAAACGGGCAAAAGATGTGAAAAGACATTTTCCCAAAGAAGAGATACGAATGGCTTAGTAAGTACATAAAAAGATGCTTACCATCCATTAGTCATTAGGCAAATGCGAATTAAAATCACACCCACTAGAATGGCTATAATAAAAAAAAAGAGACAATTGCAAGTATTGGTGAGGATGTGGGGAAATTGGAGCCTTCATACACTGCTAGCGGGAATGTAAAATGGTACAGCCATTTTGGTAAACAGTTTAAATGTTTCTCAAAATGTTAAACATAGATTTACCATAGGACTCAGCAATTGTACTAGATATTTATCAAAAGAAATGAAAACATATTGTCATAAAAACTTATACACAAATATTCATTAGCAGCATTATTCACAATAGCCAAAAAGTGGAAACAATCCAAATATCTATCAACTGGTGAATGGATCAACAAAATGGGATATGAAATTATATTCAGCAATAAAAAGGAATGAACTAAGAATGGAATTGGAATGTTCCTAACACAAAGAAATGATAAATACTTGAGGTGATGGATATTCCAATTACCCCGATTTGATTACACATTGTATGTCTGTATCAAAACATCACATGTACCCCACAAATATATAAAACTATTATATATCCACAATAATTAAAAATAAAACATTAAAAAAGAAAGGAACTGATAAATACTACAACATGGATGAACCTCAAAACCATTACGCTAATTGAAAGAAGCCAGACACAAAAGATCATATAAGATTCCATGTAAATGAAATGTCCAGAAAAGGCAAATCTTTAGAGGCAGAAAGTCCATTAGTAGTTGCCTGGGGCTGGAGATCGGAGCAGGATTTTTTTGTTTTTTGGTCATAAAACAGCTTCTGAGGGAAAGGAATTGACTGAAAATAGATAAGGGATTTCTTTGGGTTGCTGGAAATGTTCCAAATCTGGATTGCAGTGATGGTTGCACAACTCTGTAAATTTACTAAAAATCATTGAATCGTATACTTAAAATGGGTGAATCTTATGTATGTAAACCTCAGTAAAACTAATTTTTTTTAAAAAAGAATATACTTGTACTTGGCTATGAATCCCAGCTCTAATACTAGCTGTGAAATTTGGGCATGTTACTCAATCTTCCTTTTTTTTTTAAACATTGAGTGATTCTTATTACAAAATCCTCTAGTAAGAATCCTCTAATAGAAAATCCTCTAATAGAAAATCCTCAGAGATATATCATGTTTATAGACTAAAATACTCAATAGTATAAAGACACAATTTCTTTACCAAACGATTCCATAGGCTGAAACAAATTTCAAAATAGTCATGATATTTTAAAAAATGGAACGTGACGAGCTGATTCTAAATATATTTGGAAATGAAAAAGACAAAGAATAGGCAATATACTTTTGAAGAAGAAAATGTATTTGAAGGATTTTCTCCACTAGATACCAAAACCTTCTAGAAAGCTATAGTATTTAAGACTACTAGATACTGGTATAAGGCTAGATAAAGAAACTGACGGAACATAATGAAGAACTAAGAAACAGACTCATGCACTTCTAGACACTCAATATTTAGTTTTTGTTTTGTTTTGTTTTTTGAGATAGGGTCTCTCTCTGTCGCCCGGGCTAGCATGCAGTGGCATCGTCATAGCTCACTGCAACCTCAAACTCCTGGACTCAAGTGATCTTCCTGCCTCAACCTCCCCAGTATGTGGGACTACGGGTGCATACCAGCACGCCCAGCTATAGACACATAATATTTGAATGAGGTGGTTTCCAAATTAGAGGGGAAAGAACAAACATTACCATACAAAAAGCTAGAATATTTGCATAATAAACAAAAAAAGTTGAAATCCTTCTTTATACTATATAGCAAATTTCATTCCAAAGAGAATACCTGAATTTAAAAGAAAAGCTACCAAACTTTTGGAAGGTAGGAAAGATTACTGCCTTAATAATCTCAGGGTAAAAATTATATTAAAACAATGTAAAAATTGCTAACCATTAACAAAAATAATACTTTTGATTGCCTTAACATTAAGAATTTTTGCTTATCAAAATTATCATTAAAGAAAAGTTAGATCATATTTTCCACTCAGAATCAACAAAGGACAAATAGCGAGTATATTAATTCTACAAATTAATAAGGAAGAAAACAGACGAATCAAGATAAGTATCAACAAAATACATGACACTTCAAAAGAGAAAACATAAATGGGCAATATGTTAAAAGGTACCAAATATTATTAAACTTAAAATGAAAATTATAAATATAAAGGGATTTCCTTAGATTTGCTTTAGAATAACAGAAAAATGAAAATTGGGTAATGCTAATGTTGGTGATGATGTGGAACAAAGATAAATTTCATACACTTTTTTTTTTTTTTTTGAGGCAGAGTCTCACTGTGTTACCCGGGGTAGAGTGCCGTGGTGTCATCCTAGCTCACAGCAACCTCAAACTCCTGGGCTCAAGCAATCCTTCTGCCTCAGCCTCCCGAGCGGCTGGGACTTACAGG